TCGCTCCCTTGTTCCATTCCCCTTGCGCAGATCGCCCCGAATGCACAGTGCGCGGTTCCCTGCGAGCACGAGAAGGGATAATGACAATTCAGCGTCTGAGAAGCAAAGGGAGGGCAGTAAGCCACTTGGTCGCGGCAGGCCGCCCAGACACGGGCAGACAATTCACCAATGTCGTATTTCCATTTTAAATGGCAAGTGCTCAATGTGACTGTATAGTTGAGAGACAGCCGATGCCGGCATTCCCACATGTCGGCAATGTCCACGCAAATTTGCAGATCATGGACCAGAAGCATCGCAGTGCACTATCCACCATGTTCTGCAAAGTCTTGGCAGCAACTCTCGACCAGTTCTGCCCCGCTGTCTTCAGTGAACACTGCGTCGCCAGGTCGCACAGGGACCGGCAACATTTCCATTCGCTCCTTGTTGCATACCTTGATGCTCATTAGGACTCCCCTGACAGATTTACCCTTGCCCATCCCCGCTCGTGGACACCTTCCGGGCTGCTCGACCACTACAGCTTCCCTTTGCATTCCTCAGGAACGACTTTCTTGTCGTCGCCATCGATTTCCTTACACAAGCCCACCCATGCGCAATCGTGCTCGTTCTTCGCTTGCTCTCGCTCATATCATTCACCAGCTTGTCGTCAGAGTCCCGGCGTGTAGCACGTCGTTTAAAGAGCATGCGCTCTGCCTTTCGTCACGGTGGTGGCACAGTGTCGACGCAGCGGCGATATTGCGATTTCGACTGCCAATATGGATTTGGCATTCCGGATACCAGCCACTGATATCGATATCAGTGGCAGGTACCCTGATTGCCAACTGTCCTCCCTCGCTGCCGCTCTGCTAGCCGGCGAAGCTTTTGCTTCCTAGGGTCCAAGTCTCTCCTGTGCTTCCCCACAAACTTCCAATCTGGGCCGTACCTGCCCCTGTGGGTCTTAGCGACATGTCTGCGGCCTTGCAGACTATTGGCGAATGAGCGCTTGCAGATGAACAACGATCTAGAGGCTGGCATGTGACAATGCCTCGTGATTGGTTTCGCGAACGTTGCAGAGGATGCGGCGTAGCAGTCAAGATCTCAATGCGGGGCTGCCCAGTGCTTTGCCGCGGAGCGGTGCGCTGAACCTGAATGTCTGGGGAGTCCAACGTCCCAAATCACTCCCAAACAGGCAATCCTACGTATGTGGTTGAATCTTGCAACCCCAAAACATCCAACCCAGTTTCAACACCTGTGCTCTCGATCGCAACATGAGAAGGCATCCCTGAATGCGCTGCGACAGTTTCCTTGTACAAGCCCAGCCTAGCAATAAGCTTTGTGGTCCCATTCCATATCATGTTGTCTCTACATTGCCAACAGTCCTTCAAATATTGACTTACGACGATGTCATTCAAATTTAGCCCTTTTCCTCTTAAAGGGCACTTTCAAGGAGGTCCACGAACCCCAATAACAACAAATGCTGTTCGTTGTATCGTAGCTGCGATCAAATTAGTCAAACTAGGCAAAAATGATACGACTTCATGAGGACTCGTGATTCCACATCCAGTCTTACCCACTGCACTGCTGTCCATGAACTAATTCTTACGCCCAATATTTATCTATCGGTATAAGTTCAGATTAGTCGGTGGAGCGATGGCTCAAACCACCCCGGAAGGCACGGACACACCACGCACACAACGCCAGCGCCACGGCGCTCACACAGCCTCACACGGGCTGCTTCCATGAGAGTGGCCACGCAGAACTCGGCTTACATATTTGCTTGTCCTGTTCCAGGTCCAAACGCAGCTTTCCTGCCGAATGGCGGCACCAAACAAGACCAAATTTCTTCATGTCTCACAACTACTGGATTGCCTGTTTGTGCTTTCGGGATCCGGTTCATCACAAGCGCCCGTCAAGCAGCTCTTTCACATGCCGGTTCAGCGCATAGCCCAGAGCAAAACACGCCACAGACTTCCTTTTCACACATAAATGAGTTTGAAATATGGGATACTAGAACACGGACTCTCTGCCATCATCAAAAACACATTGATGCAGTAATAATATGGAGGGAGCTGTTTATATTCTTATCCGATCATTGTGTTTTGGGTGATGGCAGAGAGTCCGTGTTCTAGTAGCCCATATTGCAGAGGCTCCGTGGTCCAGTAGCCGTTATTCCAAACTGATTTCTCTAGAAGTCCGGCCTTTCAGCACCAGCACTCAAACAGAGCATTTCTGACTACTAAGATCATTGTCATGACCATTTTCAGGCCTTCAAAGTGCTTGCAAACCAAAAAATACAATAGATTCAGGGCACTGTAGAGTTGCGGAGCAGCATAGTCACAACTTCCCACAAAATTTCTTGAGGACAAGATACCCGACCAAGGCATTTCCATATGAGCTGCATAACGTTTTGCCATAGAGACCCATGTTGTATCATACAAACATGACCTAATCAAAAAGGAACCCAACATACAAATCAGGTCAAAGAAACGGGAACAATATCAAAGAAACTCATGAATATCCTCAACGATTTCGTAGTGGCGGTCAGCTCGGGCCATCCTATGAAAAAGCAAACCCTCTGTGAAGTGCAGAGCAATCACTAGCCATTCAACATAATCGATCCATCCAGTGAAACGGTGGTTATTATGTGGCTGCGCGAACAATATATCCTGAGATGTGGCCATACTATGGATATGCATATCCAGTGATATACAACTTTCTTCCGATCACGTATTCAGGGCTCGATATGCGTAGGCGCAAACATGTCGCCTAATTTGGTAGCTTTTATCTTGGCTGCCCTTCTAAGAACAGGTACAAGGTGCGCCTGCTCACACAAGGTGTGACTGCTCACGCATTCGACACCAAGCATATTCTATTTAGCACGTTCCACAAGATCTTCCCCCTCTGTGAGCGCAAGCATATGTGCCCACCTGGGCGCATGCAATAAAATGAAATGGCATAGTTACACGTTGCGTAATACGCAATGCCCTGTGCACTTCCTCCGCAAGCACCACGAGTGTCGCATGCCCTTGAGGAGAGCAAAATTGCAAGGGACATGGGGAACCACTTGTGTTTGAATCGAATGTGAGTGCACTCGTGCCTTTCCTTCTTACCTGTTTGAGCGCTGGCCCTTTGACAGATGCAAAAGGTGGCTGTCTGCCACCCGGGCGAAAATCCACAAAGCGCCAAGTCTTCGCCTGTCCCGCCTTCCGGCTCGATAAGATTTATGTCGAAGGAGACGAATATGGGGACGTACAGCTCCCCTGCGAACACGTAGCCAGCGATTCCGCCACGGAAAACCCGACTCAAATGGGCCTGGTAAAATTGGGCGCACATCGAGATACCCATACAGCTTGCCGCATTGCTGTTTCCATATTCTCCTTTTATGCTGGAGTTCGTCCCTTTGTAGCAGACTAAGTCCTTTTTTCACTTTTGTGAATTTCGCCAATCCCTAGCCACCTTTTGAAGCTCACGGGGCGCCAGCTTGCCATAAATTTTATATCATATATTGGCGACCCGAACACAAAAGTCATCGAAAATGGGCCTCATAACATAGTGGCACATTTGGCATACAAATGCTTGCAGCTGCAGTGACGCCATATACACGCATAGCACTGCATATCTAGGCCAATACGAACGTAAACGTGTTACATTCTGGCGCTGCCATAAACGGAAATGCCAAGCCGACATGGCTGCACACATGTACTGGTCCCCATTCCCCAACAGCCAATCATTATTCCGATCGCGTCAGCATCCAAGAACATCCACACCCGCAACCACAGCCCCTTGGGCATCACATGCGCCGTCAGTTCCACGGGCTGGCCCGGACGCTCGGATTTTAGATCTCACATGCTGTGACCTCAGCATCCAATCGCGACCAGAGCCGACCACGCACACAAACACTCCATGAAAGTCGGCATCAAGCTGCAGCAAGAACAGCCACGGACAAGCGCACTTGGATCTCCTGGAGGAATCTGGTCTCTGCAGATCAGGATTTCCCATATCAGAACTGCACAGCGTAACAAGTGTAAAGAATCTTTGGCATTCCCTGCCTTTCGGAGGACTGTCCCTTGTGTCCAGATGACAGTGTCCAAATGATTGTTTGTTTGTTCCCAAGTTGTGTGCTTTTCTGCTCTACACACGTGCATATCATCAATGCTGGCCGCTATGGAGAGGTTACGAGTTCAATCATGAGTTCCGCCGTTGATGCTCTCAGCGGCCTTCATGTGACTGTTTCCGACTTGTGTCCAACATTCGTCGAAGGGCACTATTGGGCATCTGTTGATGAGGACACTGCCCGCCGTTGCTGTCAGGCGCTGAGCGTTTCGGGGACGCTCTGCCTTTTTTGTGGCATATGCTATTGTTCGTCCTCGTCGTTGGTTGCATGCATTTTGGGTCTTCACAGAGCAAAAGAACGCACAGCCAACCCAACAACAACTAGCTCGGTTGCCTGTATTCCTGGATGCGCCTGGGCGAATGCACTCCTCTGCTGAATGGGCCCCCGTTTCTTCGATGCATGAGGCATGACTTGCAAGATGGGATTGCTCATCTGCGGGCATAAGGGCCCCACAGGGCCCAGCGTAAGGGGCCCTGGGCGTGGGGCCCAGGGCCCTTGGACCCTGGGCCCTGTGGGGCGAGCCCACCTGCGGGCTTTCTGCCCGTGAGCACCCGCAGCCGACCCGCAGAGCAGTGGAGGGCAGCTTACAATGGCATCGCAATATCAATTACCGGAACACGAAGCAATGTGCAAGAACGAGCACTCTGAGGACGCAGCGCTCGGGACGCCTCTCTCCCCACCAAGAAAACATGCCCGCCCAACTCCAATTCGACAATAAAATCGTGCGGCTCGCCCCAGAACGCTCACTGAACTGATTTCGCATCATGATTCAATTGACGCTCCATAACACAGCAACCCCCCGGAACCCACAAATCCACAAGGCTGCAGCAGGGCACCAAATCACACACCAGTATAACCCAGCCAGATTTCCAAGGTCACACTTCACTACTGCGCCATTCCGCTGCTTCCCTCAGCTCGCGAACGTCATCTTCTCTGCATCTGCACGGAGCTCCTGGAACAGTGGAGACGACAGATAGCGCTCGCCGAAGCTGGGCAGGACGGGGACGATGAGCTTGCCAGCAAACTCCTCCCTCTTTGCTAGGCGGATGGCTGCAACGACCGCCGCGCCAGAGGAGATGCCAACGAGCAGGCCTTCCTCGAGGGCCATGCGACGCGCCATCTCGATCGACTCCTCCCCAGACACCTGAGGTGGGCAACAGCACAAAGTCACAAATTTGACTCTGAACAAGGCTACCATAAAAAATTGCAAGGTAAGAAAGACAATGCACAATCTGGTGCCTCACATTTTTCTTGGCGCCATCTTGACAAGAATTTGAGACAATTATCATGCACATGTAAACAGTACGCACGAGTGTAGTAATACGTCTGAACAATTCTTGATGACAACACATGGACTTCAGCGTGTTCGCGTTACAGAAGCGTGAAGAAATGCACGTCAAATTATGGGCTTCTTGCCCACAATACAAGGTAGGTGTCTTTCTTCCCACGCTTTTGATTCACACCAGAAACTGTTCCATGCACTTGCATTAACCTGGCCACGAGTACTCATACTTCGCTTTGGCAGTGATTATGCCCAACGCGTGTGGCAGTGACTGCAAGTAACTAGGGAGCGAACATCCATTCAGGAGGTACAGTTGATGCAAAACGATATCCCAGAGAGCCAGCGCCACGGTTGCTCATGCAAAATCCAGCAAACGTCAGGAATCCAACTGCCATGGTGCAAGTGCTGTTCTTGTTGTTGCTTGGAACACTCTGAGGCTTAGCACCATAAAAGGAAATGACACCTATGTGCACACAGCATGGCATCTCATCCCCTAGATAGAACAAATGCTGCCCATCCCAAACCAAGAGAGAAGACGGATAGCACCGCGTGTGATCAGGCACAATCAGCAAGCATACAAAACTTTCATTTGTGGTGGTCCCAGAACATGGCATATGCCCAGGCACTTGCAAGGTGATGGGTCCAAAGCAGTGATTTCTGAAAGCAACAAGAACACGACAGAAAACCAAATTTCGTTGGCACCAGCAAGCACCACTCACCTGAAGAACCTCGTCATAGATGTCCGTGTCGAGAATCCCAGGCACAAATCCAGCTCCAATGCCCTGAATCTTGTGGGGTCCAGGTTTACCGCCAGACAAGATGGGCGATTCGGTTGGCTCCACAGCAACAATCTGTAGGCGTCATGCAGCTCAACTTTTTCAGCATTTATGTGACTTGCGGACTATCACTGGCCAACTGGGCAGGTAGTGGCACAATTATGCTTGACAGAGAATCATTTTTGCTGGCTACATGCAATGCGACAATTATTTTGTGCAATGCTTCTCTCAGTAAATCGTTTGGACCGAAACGCTCTAAGAAGTAAGATACAATCACCAATGTCAACTATCACCTTGTTGACAAGGGCTTGATGGTAATAGCAGACAAATTCGGAGTTGACTGCCCATAGAGAATCAACACAAGCAAGCACAGCAGTTCCTTTGCCAGGTGCCTTTTGCCAAGCACCATTGCTGCAAGCACTTGACTCCTGCACTGAACACTGGGGAAAAGTGGAAGAGCTGGTGGCACCATTTGCCAATTCTGTTTAAGTGCAAGTGTACCACAAATCCAGTCACATTGGCCAGCATGCTCCCACAAGGCTAGCTCAACATATTGGGAGACATGCAGCACTAAGGAACATTTCTCCGTCATCACATCGTCCATGCCTGGGACTGTTGTCCACGCCAAGAAACGTTGGGAGAGTTTTAAAACACAGCGCACATGTATGTCCTTGTTCTGTTCCTTGAGGAATCGTCCAGATCCAGTGATGGTTCCCCCGGTGCCAATCCCAGAAACAAGGACGTCGATTTTCCCTTCAGTCTGCTTCCAGATCTCAGGACCAGTCGTCTCATAGTGGATTTTCGGGTTTGCAGCATTCTCGAACTGCTGCAGGATGAACGAATCAGGGGTGTTCTTTGCGATCTCCTCTGCCTTCATGATGGCACCCTTCGATCAACATTCACACCATAGGAGTCAGACAGAAGGCCTGACATGCCCCTTGGGGGGAATTACCGTAAATTAGGAAAAGCACAACTAAAATTGTTGCACACTGCAACATGCCCAAAGCTTTGTATGCATGCGTTAAGCCCAAGGATAGTTTCCTTCACAAACACTATTTATGCACAAAACCCCAAATCTGGTACCAGTGAATTTGAGATGATTTGCCAGTGGACATCCCTGTGGGGCGACAAGGGAGACCAGCAGAGATATTGCTGCAGATTCATTGGCAGTACTGCAGGGTACACAGTTCGTGGGAGGCAATTACTGCACGAAATCAACAAGAATCAACATTTCTACAAATCTTCCAGACTCAGAGCCACAACCAAAAAAAGAGGGAAGGGCATGCTGACACCAGAAGTCAGATCATTGAATCTATAGCCTACCTTCATTCCCTTTGCAGGATCGGTAAGCACGAGCTCCGCTCCAAAAGCTCGCAACAAGATGCGACGTTCAAGAGACATGGATGCAGGCATGGTCAGTACCAACTTGTAGCCCTTTGCAGCAGCAATAAATGCCAAAGCAATCCCAGTGTTGCCACTTGTAGGCTCAATTAGGGTCGTCTGCCAATACCAGCATGAACACAAGCTTCACCATCAACAAGTCCATCAAACCAAAAGTCATTTTCTCTGAGGACAATCACAGGAAACAGCAGCCACATGGGAAGTAGAACACCACCTGGACAAGAACATAAAGCGCTGCATATCTGCAAAGTGGAGCTTGAGGAATGGAAGGCAACTACACATACCTTTCCAAAGTGACAGCAGCTGGCAATTCGTCATATTGGTACCCCAGTCAGCCATTTACTGGCCTAAACAACACTGGAAAGAACAAGGCATGGTGAGCGATCAAACATGCGCTCTGTGAAATGCATCAACTGTTGATTGCAGCAGCCAAAGATCTGGCACTCACTTTGCCAGGGACAATATCTCCCTTGCTTTCAGCGTTGGAAATCATGCTGAAGCCTATCCTGCACAGCCCCACAAACAGAGCCTTCAGAATTTGAACGCCAACAGGCTTATTCAACAGCTCCTGCAAACCCCACCTGTTGGACAAAAGTCCCACAGAGTATAAACACACATGTGCCAGAAGGGAGCCGCTCTAAGAGATACCTAGGATAAATTTTGTGGATGGCATGCACCACACCTGTCCTTCACACTGCAGCAGGGCTCCATAGTCTCCATCTTGGCTGCCACCCTTGCCACACAGCCCTCCGTAACTTTGTTGAGGTAGACCATAGGGGTATTCCCTACGCACACACAGCGTACTCCATCGTGCATTTGTGATCACAGTGCGGAACAGTCGCAGAATACACGTCAACATCCCTTCAATCCCGTATTCTTGAAAACTTCCGCTTTGGGGGCCATCGAGGAACCCCTAGCCGCCACCACTGCTTTCACCCGACAATTCGCCACCTGCATCAGTGGTTTCGTCTTTGACTACGGATCGGATAAGCCAGCAGCGTGCCATATTCTGTTCCTTTGCGCAGCGATCAAGCAGGGCTACTACAAGGTTGAGCCACACAGGGACACTCCAATGCAAGGACTCGCGTTCCAAGGAATGCCCATCATGCGTCCCGTTCCCCATCTTCCGCGCTCCCACCCCAGGAAACGCCCCGCCTTCCCGAGGGGTCGCGGCTGGCAACAGGCGCTCACCGATCAGCTCCGTGATGTCCTTGGCGATGTTCATCTCGACCGCTGGCACGGCGACAGCCTGGCAAGCCACGGAGTCCCTTCGCGCCGCCTTGCCCCGCACACCAATGGGCACCTGCAACCAGGCATCCACGGGCCAGGATCAGCGCTCCAGCGCCCCTGGCAGCGGCATGATGGTGGCGATCGGACAGCGCCGCTGGCTGGTGGCAGAACGCGGATCCCAGTGTGGGGGTGCGCACCAACTGCGGCTGGCCCACGCACAGGACCCGGACTGGCGCCCTGGGGCAGGGGGTCGGGGCCTTGCCGCGCGGGAGGCTGACGTGCTGGCTGGCTGCCATGGCTGCGGCCGAGGGGCGAGCGTCGCGTGGTGCGATCAGACAAGGCCCCTGCCGCCAAAGTCGCGGGCCAGTGGGCGCTGTACTTGGCCTTGGTGTGCGTTGCGTACGTGCAACGCAAGTTGACGTTACGTACAGGCTTCGTGTGAACGGGGCTGTACGTTACATGGCCCCAACCGAAGACCGCGCAACGTGCGTCGTCGGAAAATGGGAAAAAGAATGACGTAACTCCCCCCCCCCGCTAGCCAAAAAAGTCCATCGCGCACACTTGCCTTACCAGCACAGTGCTCCAAGCCGTCGGTGCAACTCCTCCCGAGAGCCTCCTCCTTCAATCGGTCGCGCCCGGGCGTCGGTGCCCGGCCGCTCGTGCCTCACCACCAAGGCGCGCGACAGCGGGGCCGATCCTTCCCCCGGCGCTCCCGCCGGGTCTGTGCAGACCCGCGGCGCGGCACGATGGGCGACAGAAAGCGCAAGTTGGAGGTGTTCGAGCCCAATGGGACGGTGCTGGAGCACCAGCCGACCATCAACCCCTACACCGGGAGGCCCTACAGCAAGCAGTACTTCACCATCCTAAACAAGAGGAAGAGTAAGGGCGCTTGAGCGGGCCGAGATCCGCACGGCGGCGCGGGGCAAGGGGGATTGCAGGGGTCTGTTTGTGCTGCAACCTGGGGGGCGGCGGGAATGGCGGCTGGTCGATGGGCCGGACGATCCTCGTCTGGGGGACCCTGCTGTGCAGATCAGCGACATTCTTGGCGGTCTGTGTCTGAGAATGAGAGCCAGTGAGGGGAGTTGTTGTGGACGAAAGGGACAATATTCGAGAGGTGTTCCTGGCGTCTTTGCAGCATTTCTCGCGGTTGGTTGGACAACGGGGCACGCCACTGTGCGCCCCGGGCGTCGAGCGAGCATCTCTCGCCCTCCGCCGGCTTGGCTGGTGGAAACAGCTGCGCTCCTGTGACCGCCGCTTGTCCTGACTCCGATAGGGCCGCCGCATCTTCTGGACTTCTCCAATTCGCGTCATCGACTGACCGTGGCTGTCTTGTTCCCTCATCAGACCTGCCTGTTTGGCAGGCCAAGGATGACTTCACTAAGATGCTGAACTCCCACCAGACGACGATTCTGGTGGGAGAGACGGGCAGCGGAAAGACCACGCAGATCCCGCAGTTCATATGTGAGGCCGGCTACACGCGTGACCGCAGGAAGATCGCCTGCACCCAACCGCGGCGTGTGGCTGCGATGTCCGTTGCTCGGCGTGTGGCGGACGAGATGGACGTGGACTTGGGGGAGGAGGTTGGCTACTCCATTCGATTTGAGGAGTGCTCAGGACCGAAAACAGTCATCAAGTGAGTGCTCAGAGAGGTTCGCAACGGGTTGCCCGACGTGAGGTCGCAAGGAATGGTCGAATTTTGCCAATTTTTTTGAGGTGTGTTCTGTGGATTACTGGGCCCAGATTCAGAGCTTTGCCACCTTGTCTTTGCAAGCGCGAATGTGCTATCAGAGGCTGCACCATGAATCACAATATCGTGTATCGCAGACTGTGTCATGTTTCACAGTATGAAAAAGAGCCTAACCTTGTTTCCTTGCTCAGGAGGTGTTCCCTTTGTATGTTTCACAGTTTTCTTTAACATCGAATCCCTCCAGACAGTGCCTTCTTTTTGTGCAGTTTTCCAGCCTCGCCATGTTCTAGCCTGCCTGGAAGCTTGTTGCACCAGCCCTGCCTGAAACGATATGCAGCTGGCCGAATGTGCAAACACCCCTTGACTCCTCCCGATTTCCCTTGCAGATTTTTGACCGACGGAATGCTGTTGCGGGAGGCAATGAGCGACCCCCTGCTGGAGAAATATAGTGTCATCATTCTGGACGAAGCCCATGAGCGCACATTGGCGACAGACGTCCTGTTTGGCCTGATCAAAGAGGTGCTCAAGCAGCGGGCTGACCTGCATCTCGTGGTTATGAGTGCCACACTCGAGGCAGAGAAGTTCCAAGGCTACTTCAGGGATGCTCCCCTCATGAAGGTCCCTGGCCGTCTGCACCCTGTGGAAATCTTCTACACGCAGGACCCAGAGGCAGACTACTTGGAAGCTGCAATCAGAACTGTTGTGCAGATACACGTCTGCGAGCCACCTGGCGATGTGCTGCTGTTCCTGACTGGAGAGGAGGAGATCGAGGATGCCTGCAAGAAGATAAACAAGGAAATTGGGCAGATGGACAACAAGGTGTGATGAATATAGGCCTTTGGCTCTGGAATCCATGTTGGTCCCTGGTATTGCCAGTGCTGCTGGGCTGTTGCACTGCCCGGAGGGCCTGTTGCTCTTGCAGCTTGCAGGTATTGGTTGGAAGTGCTATTTTGCGATCCTGTGCATCCCCCATCGAAGAAGCTGCAGATTTTCCAAGAAGATTGTTGCATATGCTGATCTGTATTATGTGTGGTGCATCCAGGTTGGGCCTGTCAAAGTGCTTCCCCTGTACTCCACATTGCCACCCCAGCAGCAGCAGAGGATTTTTGAAAATGTAAGTTGTGGCTTTCCTCATTTCTGGTTTAAATGCTGTAGCGTCCTGACTGCTGTTTAAGGACACATGTAAGGAAATTGCAATTTGCAATCTTTGCCCCGTGGTTAGTTACCTTGAAGAGACGAATTCATAAGCTAGGGCACTGCCCAGTGGGCATTGGCAGGTTGTAGCTGCTCCCTTCCGTGCGGAAGCATTTTCTGTGATGTTTTGACAACGACATTGCTGTCCTTGTGCAGGCACCGCCCCCTATTAAAGAAGGCGGACCACCTGGGAGGAAAATAGTTGTCGCAACAAACATCGCAGAGACGTCGCTGACGATCGACGGAATTGTGTATGTGATCGACCCCGGCTTTGCAAAACAGAAGGTGTACAATCCCCGCATCAGGGTGGAGTCACTGCTAGTGTCTCCCATTTCCAGGGTGAGCACGACCAGCAGAGTTGCAATTGCTGTGCATGCACTCCACTTTAGTTGCTGTGCTCCCAGAAAGTCAACATGCTGCCCAGTTATGTGAATTGTACAGTCGAGGGTCTGGGCTTGTTCATACCGACAATGCTGTGGGGGACTTGGATGCAACTGCACATTGGCAAAATTGTTGCAGGTTTGGCAGTCTCTGTTGTACTGTGTTCACAGACATGGTTGGTGGTATGAGCTGTTTATGGTGTTGCTTTGTTACTGGTTGTCACTTTGTGCCTGGGAATCAAGTTTGCAGCAAGCCAGCTGTGGACAACTGATGGGTGCATTGCTCATTGTGAGACTTGCGAAATTCTATCAGCATGCAGTGAAACACAGAACAAAATTTCAGCAATGGCACAGATGCAGAGCCATGTTCTTTGCACCTGCTTTAAGTTCAGTTGTCCAGCACGTTTTCAGCGATGTGACAACACAAACACTGCCAATTTGCATGCTTTTATCAGCTACTCCCAGGTACCTGTTGCAACTGAATTTCATGTTGTGGTGGCTGTAAGGGGTTGCTGCTGTTGCAGTGATATTGGACCACTTGTTGCGGGTCCAACCTAGGCTGAAATGTTGTCCTGTCACAGTATGGTGGATGCCTGCCATCGCCTTCAGGGGCAGTGCTCCGTTCTCATGACTGTGTTCAAAGCAATCTACACATGGCTTGTCCATTCTTTGTCATCAGTGTGGATTCCTAGGTTGATACGTTTGTCATTTCAAAGCTATACACTTGGAAGGATGAATAAATCAGTTGCTTTCTGCTTGCTGTGTAATCCTTCACTTCATTGAAGGATATGAGTGCAGACTATCCATGCTTGTGCATCAGAGCTGCCCCTGCCAAGACAGGTCATCAACAGATGAGAGTTCTGCCAAGTGTGACACCAGGCAGCTGTCTGTACTCTGAAGCTGCACGACAGTGGGTGGAATGTACTGAAGCTGTGCGACTGCGAAGAGAATCGCTGCCCCGTTTGTGTCCAGTGACCCGTGGTGTCAACAGCCCATGCATGTGCTGCAGGCTTCCGCCCACCAGAGAGCAGGCCGTGCAGGTCGAACACAACCTGGCAAGTGCTTCAGGCTCTACACTGAAAAGTCCTTCAAGAATGACCTGCAGGAGCAGACGTATCCAGAGATCTTGCGATCGAACCTTGGGTCGGTGGTGCTGCAGCTGAAGAAACTGGGGATCGACGATCTCGTGAGTCGCACTGCCTCTGCAGGAACTGCTGCAATAGGAATTGTGTCCCTGATGGTGGTTTCGCTGGTTGTTTAGGTTTGGGCAAATGGGTAAGGTAATTGCGGCATGTTTTCGTGTTGACCAGGGGCGCAATGATTTCTGTCTCAATCCTTGAGCTGACATTTGGTAGCGGCACTCATCAGACAAGGTCCAAGATATTGCAGATGATCTGCCCTAGTGTTGGGTGGGCGCCAACAGTCTAAGAGTTGGAACACTTGCTGAAACACGCAACCAAACAGACTGGTTCCATGGGTGGGGGCCTGCCTCCCTCGACTAGATTTTTGCCACTGTGTCCAGTGATGATTTGAAGCCCTTGTCTACATGCTATGGACAATCTTCGGATTGGCTGAAAAACTATCTTCCCTGAGGACTGCATGTGGCAAAAATTGATGCTGGCAACAATAGTCATTTGCGTTGCTCATTGATCAAAATCGTTAGGTTGCTGGTTCCTGTTGGGTGCAATGATTAATGTGTCATTCCTCGAACTGACATCTGTTGAATGACAGACTACAGACAAAGACCAAGAAATTGCAGATGAGCAACCCAGCAGTCTAGAAATGCTCTTGTTTCATAAACAGAGTGTACAAAAGAATGTATCTGCAAAAGCACACAACTGTAGTGCCAACGAAGAATCAGCATATGTTCGATAGATGCCATATCCACCATTTGACAGGCTTACCACCCTGTTCAGTGACGGTTGGCAGCCGTTGTCTTCGTGCATTGCCATCTTCCCGGAGGGCATGTGCATAGTGTGGTACCTTGCTGTGCCATTTTGGTGGAAATTGTGCATAGAATGGACAATAGATGTCCGCCTGGATCAACGTGTGGTTTTTGCTACTTGGTTGTCCAAGGTGTCAGTACAGAGTGTGGAAGCTAAGAATCAATGCATATGAACGACAGCATTCCATGAGTTCTTGTGTGACAGATAGTACTGCAGAGCCTTGTCAGTTTTTATGTGCTGAGCCTGTGATGAGAGCTACTGTGCGTCCTTGGCACTGAAGTGACACAATGAAGAGAGTCGCAGTTTCTCGATCTTCTGATGGCCCAGCCTTTGAAGATGTTGTATCTGGGGCATTTGCAGTGTTGTATAACCAGCTGCTGTGTGGCTTTGCCTATGACAACAGAGTGACGTTGAAAATTGTTGGATCCTTCCTTCTGTGGCTTTTGTGCCAGAGATGTTGCTGGCCATGGAAGGGTACCTACTTTGGATTCGTCGATTGTTGGCTCTCCAATTGTGGAGCAGCATCAAGAGCCGATATCAAGCATCAAAGCATAATGCTAAGCTAGGTACAAACAGGCAAGGGGTGTGACACCAGTGTTTTTTTTCCTGATGTTGCAGGTTCATTTCGATTTCATGGATCCCCCTGCTCCTGAGACACTCATGCGAGCCCTGGAGCTGCTCAACTACCTGGGGGCAATCGATGACGATGGCAATTTGACAGAGGTATGCATCTGTTATGTCTGGTGGCACTGCTAGGAATGCTGTTCTCTAAAGTATGCACAACATGTGGTACAGGTTCCTTATGTATCTTGATGCAAATGCCAGGCCTTGTTGCTATTTACCTGGGCAAGTGCAGCATAACTCGATGTTGCACTTGAAAGCAGTTCTGCATCTTGCCCTGGGCATGAGTTGGGAATCTAGACCAGACCCACCAGCCTTTTTTTTCAGCCCCAGTGCTTTTGAAAGACTGGTCCAGTACAAAAGGGTGGTGACATGGGTGTGAGGAAAAGGGAATAGGGAGGCCAGGTACCAGAGTAGTTTGCCAGCTGGTCGATTAAGTTTCAACAGCTGATCTGCACCTTTGGCTGCTGGTGCCCGCTGGGATTGTGCGCAGGTGGGCAACATCATGGCTGAATTCCCATTGGACCCTCAACTGGCCAAGATGCTGGTGGCTTCCCCAGAGTTCAAGTATGATGGCTCACCGCTGGCCTGCTGGCCTTGCACACACACACACATACACACACTTTGTCGACTTTGGCAGGATATTGTTGACAGTAGGTTGTTGTAGTGGAGGCAGGAAGCTGGTGTCCCAGCAGCTCACCACTTGTTTCAGCACTCGCACGCAGGACACTGGTGCGATCAGCCAGTCATTTCTTGCTTTGACAGGTGCTCCAATGAGATTCTGATCATTGCTGCGATGCTGTCCTCCCCAAACTGCTTCCTGCGCCCAAGGGATGCGATGAAAGCTGCCGATGAGGCCAAGGCACGCTTTGTCCATGTTGATGGTGAGACATCCTTGGATTCAGAAGGCATTCAGCATCTGTTGCTGTTGAATCTGCACATGTCAGAATGTTGGCGAAGCACAGCCCTTGCAACTTTGCGGTGGTTTGTTGCTGTTATGTTGAGCTCATTGTCATAGCAGCAAAGAGTCTCTCCAGGGGCTGACATGCTTTTGTCCATACATCAGCCTCATCGGAATGTATTGACACACTCTGGGCCAGCAGTAATGTCTATCATTCACAGCTCGCACATGCGCAACTGTCGTCTAGAGTTGTTATCTTGTTGACAGTGAGCTTGCTGGGGGGAGCAGTGCTGAATTGCGGTTGGTCTCCTTCACATGCTAGTAGGCTGGATGACAATAGCCTCGTCCCCATGAAAGGGCCGGAACTGCCCCAATTGGGGGCAGGATTACCTGAGCAGGGTTCAGGCTCGTGCTGCGTTGCAGTAGTCGAAACATATGTGCTGGAGAAGTGACAGCTGTGCCCAGGGCTGGATTTCACAGCGTTAATGACGATTGTCACCTTGTGTGGTCAGCCAAGTTTGTGCCAAGTTAACTGGCTGTGTTATCAGTGTTATCAGTGTGATGGATTTGGAAGTAAGCCAAGGGCAATGAGTGAGCGTGGGCTCTGTTGGTAATTCAGGTGACCACCTGACACTGCTGCAAGTGTTCAACAAGTGGAAGCAGCATGCGGACGAAAAGGACTGGTGCTATGACAACTTCCTGAACTTCAGGTCCCTCAAGTCTGCTGACAACGTTCGAACCCAGCTGGTACAGTGCTTCCCAGTCAATCATCCGAGCAGGGCTCTGTGATGGATGATGTTTCAATGTGAAAGTCATGGTGCTTGCACCACCAGCACAAAACATCAAAATATTGCTTGCAGATCGGAACAGCACATCGCTCGATTTGGGCATGCCAAGACAAGTTGATGCCTGCTGATGGTGTTGTTGTATCCTTAGTCCGCAGCAATGTTCAGGTGCACACAGGAGCATGGCCTCCCCTAATGTGCCTGTTCGGAACAGGGCAATACTGCCTTGCGATTCTTGCCTTTGGCGACAGATGTTGTACTGGACAAGATCACCATTACCTGGTGCAATGCCATCACTGATATTGCACATCTGTTTGAAGGTGTTCATGGTGCAGCTGGATGCCTCACTTGTGAGCTCTGCCGTCTTGGAGCAAGTGGCACCTTCCCAAGCTATAGGATGAGAAACTGCAAGATAATGTCCTTGTATGCCAGCTCGGTTGCCATGTGCGCCCCCATATCCGGCCTGCACATGTGTGTTTTGTGCCTATCATAGATGCGAATCTGCCAACGCCTGGGCGTCAGGATGCTTTCCACTGATCCAGAATCCAAGGACTACTATGTCAACATTCGAAAGGCCGTCGTCTGTGGATTCTTCATGCAAGTCGCTCACCTTGAGAGATCTGGCCACTACCTCACAGTGAAAGACAACCAGATGGTGTACCTTCATCCATCGGCATGCCTGGACCAGAAGCCTGAATGGTGGGTTTTGTGGGCTTACGGGTTGCGCTTGCAACTGCTCAACAAGCAGCCTTGGTGACGGAGGTGGTGATGGAATGTCTTGTCGACATCCGCAGACATGTTGGCATGGGCATGTCAGTACAATGCAGTGTCAACAATGAGGGCTTGCTCCCAGTCAATCGGTCTGTCGGCCAGTCGAGACCCCCTTTGTTTGCACACTAATAATGAAGGCAGCAGCGCCTGCAACATTGTGAAACAGGAAACCTCATGTGCAGTTTGGAATGGCGTCAGCACAGATAGCCTGGAGGCACTTCTGGCTTTGAGGTGTAACTCCGAGGTGGTTGCAGGCGTGAACGCCTCCAGGCCATGCCCAGGCGCCTTGGAGCCGATCGAATGCAAATGGTTCCCTGGTAACACTTGTTGCTGTTATGCTGACATTGAACTGTCGCAGCCTCCCTGCTCAGAGTGAGTGGAGTCCTTCAGAATGGGAGGGAAAAAAATCTCAAGGCCGCGACCTGTACTCGGTGGACGTGATGGACATGATGGATACGGTGGATACAATGTCCGCTGCATCCGCTCATGAACAAATTCCTCTTGACTGTGTTAGTCAACTTACCACAAGACGCTGCCCTTTCACCTACAGTGGATGATGGGCGCCGTGTCACATTGTGGTGCTGATTCAGCCAGTGCTGTGTGCCAGGGTGGTGTACCAGGAGTTTGTGCTGACGACTCGAAACTACATCCGCACGGTCACAGACATCAAGGGCGAGTGGCTCATAGACATATCCCCTCATTACTACGACGTGTCGAACTTCCCGAACGGGGATGCAAGGCGCGCCCTGGAGCGCCTGTATGCAAAAAGGGAGCGCGACAGGAGCGGAAAGTTCTGACCGCCAAGCGGCAATGTTGTGCACTGTGGCAGCGCGCGGCTGGAGGGATGCATGGCGCCAGGCGTATTGCGGCGGCTGTGGAAATCTGCCAATTGCCAACGCTGCCAGTTGCTTGTTTGTGGTTGCTGGAGCATGACGGTCGGTGTACCAGGGCGCCCAGAGCGGCCGCTGGGACTCGAGACTGGTGGGCTACAGGAATGCTGGGAAGTGCGCTGGATGCTGGTTTCGGTGCGTGGGGGGCGGGGGCGGTACTTTGTGCCCTAGAAAAGAGAGCAGGGGAAGATGGTGGTGAAGGGGTTCAGCCGTTCGTGAACAGTGGCTGCTCAGGGACACGGGGGGAAGGCCGAGTGAAGGCGCGCTGTAGACTGCAAACCATCGCATGGGCTGTAATCGACGACAGACCTCCGACCAGACTGGGCCTTACAGGGCGAGGCAATGCCAAGCATCAAGAATGCATGGAGGTTTGTGACGCACCATTGAGCTCCGGGCCAGTGTGCCCTGTTGCCAGATAATACCATGTGTCACAAGAAAATCCACCCTTCGCCAAAGCACTGTTTGAGAATGGTCCTGGCTGTGTCTGCGACGAACGTTGGTCGGGCCGGCTCCCTGCTGTTTGTAATAACAAGGAACTGCACTCACACGCAGTTTTTAAACGATGTTGATGCCTCGCCCCTCCAAATGGTAGAGAAACCTTCCCGCGGAGAATTGGCACAGCAGTATCCGACGTGTAGGTTTATATCTTGGGGCGTATCCTACTGAGCGACGCTGCCCTCTTGGGTTGCATCTCAATCAACCATCAGCCGTGAGAGACTCCAACTCGAGTTCTGCCACGTCTTCGGCAGCCACTGTGCGGGCGGCAAAGAGGGAACCCCCAGCAGGCTGTTTGGAAACTTCGGCGCACCCCTCCCCTGCTGTGGCGCCGGTGGAGCTCATTTCGCTGCTGCTGCTGCTGACGCCATCTTGGGCGGACAATGCATCCACCCCTGCAGCGACCTGCGCTGGAATTTCCGTTGGTTCTGGAGTCTTGCGATGGGAGGGAACGGAGCCAGTCCTCGATCGAGTGTCTTCTTCGCAAGATCCCGTCCTTTGCGCCCATGTCCCTTTGCTAGCGGTGCCGCGATGACGGCATTGACGATCAGGACCTGACCTCCCAACTGCGCTGCAGCGCTCCTGGGCCCCCATGCCGCTGCGGATGCCATTGCCAACGCCTTGGCTAGGGCACGCTGATCCGGCCGCCATCCCATATTGATGCGGAGAGTCTGCCCTGGCCCCACGCCTGGCCCTGGACCTGCCATCCAGGCCATCTTCATCGAGCGAGGCGGTAGAAGCATCAACTCCTCGCTCCTCGCCCGGGCTTTCAGATGAGGCAACCGCCCCACCGACACTGCAGGTCTTCACGTCACCCCCGCCGCCTGCTGGTATGTCGTCCGAACGGGAGTAGACCGCCGCTCTTTCTTCTGTCGCCTTTGGCAGCGGCACAATTCCTCTAGGCGCCGCTTCCTTCCAACCTTGAGATGCACTGCGCGAAAGCGAGCCATGGACGCGGGAGTTCGGCAGGGCGGGCGCTCCTCGCCTGGCTTCCGTCATCGTGACGTCCTTCTCTCCTGCTCCGCAGCCGCCAGGGCAATCGCGCAAGTCATCCAGTCGCCCTGACGCGCCCCCAATTGCACGGCCCCCGTCAACGGGCGCGCCGCTTCCTCCGAATCCGGAATCGTCGATGTCGACGGAAAACACGGAGTCCCCTCCTTGCCTCGCCTGTTCGTTCGACTCGGGCCCCAGGAACGAGCAATCGTCTCCGCCAGAACCGTACTCCATCCTGTGGCCCTGTTGCGGACTCAATTCGCTCTCACTCTCACTTGCACTCCCGCTTTCGTTCCCTTTGGCGTTTTCGCTCCCTTTCGCAGTCGCCCCAATTGCGCTGGCGTCCTTGCCCATGGCTGCACCTGCCACTGCCACGGGGCTACTGGCGTCCCGGGAAGGAGGAACAACGTGTGCCCCGCTGCATGCGACTTCCATTGTTTCGGTTGCATCGGTTCTGGACGAGCTGTCTGCGCGGGAGTCGAGGTCGCTGGGAAGGTCTTCGACGTTGATCCGCGAGCAGGACGAGAGGGCCTTGAAGCATTTACAGCACCAGTCAGTGCCCCTCGCTTTCCGGTGTGTCCGGCAAACGTTAGGGCAGAACCCACGGTTTGTTGACGGTGGGGAAATGCGAGATATCTCACATTGAGCAGAATATCGATGTTGTGTAGAAATTGCCCGACGCACGGTTTTATGGCTTTTTTGGAGCCCGACGTGCACTGGGAAGGCGCTGGGATAATTGAATTTACGCCAGTGTGCGCAGCGAGAGCCACAGTTGCGCTGCGAGGCCTGCTCTGCCAGCCAAACCCACACGTTGTTGACAACGTACACAGCAATATGTTTACACTTTGGTCGCACCAAAAGTCAAATCGCTCAAGAACGAATGGGGTGTACTTTCCGCATCATAGAGGAGAAAAATGAATTCATAGTACGAATGAGCAAGAAAATGATGGCCAGCTCAAGAACCGGCGTTCTTGAGCAATTTAATATCTACAGGACCGAACATGGAGCCTTCAAGAAATCATCAAAGACAGTGATCTGATTCCTAGGCTCACATTGAGCAATATTGCCACCTTCCCTCAGGTTGCAGTGTCGTACGCGGATAACATTTGGTATGTCTGGGCTGACGGGCAGCATACATCGATGTCTAATCAATCAAGGGGGAAGGCAAGTGGCCGAGCAGGAGGGAACGGGCATCAGATATATCTAGAATGTCAGGTGGATTGCTGAGCGAAACGTGAAATGTGATCGCATTCCTCTTGCTAATATGATGTCAATGTGACGGTGTATAATTTGTCAATGAGGGCAACGACCCTTGGACGATAGCCAGGTTTCCATACCTGCAGGTAATCTCATGTGTGACAATTGCCACACGACAATGACGCGCATTTTCACAAACAACATCCAGACGTTGCAATCTCTGGGCAATATTTTGGGTAAATGTAGTGAATGAGCAGGAACAGTGATGTTTTCCTCAGCGCAGCCTCTCATTCCACGGAATAAGGCGTATCGCTTGAAGATCCAACGTGGCAAAGAACAGTTGGTGGGTCTACCCACACCCAACGGGGACGAAAACCACCTTGCTTCGCAGCAACCAAACAGGACCGATTTCGTTCGGCCGGTGAGCAAATCTTGCATCATGTGGCGGGGAGTCCACTCACTGCTCGAAGGCCACAACACAAGCGACCGCCTGCGAGAGGCGCTGTCCGCAGAGCCAGAGCGACGAAGTGAGAGGCGAGCTTGGCGCGGTTCCCGCGTTTGAAGAGGCGGCGCCCTCTGTTCCACGCATGGCCCGTGGTCCACACGACATCTTCCATGCCCTCGGAGGCGCAGCGGCTCAAAACGGGCAGCAGCTTTTGGTGCGACTTTATGGCGCAGCTGTCGTCGGGAGCTGCGCGGATGCACTCATGGACGATCTGCATGGATCGGCAGGCATGTGTCAGCAACCTTGCTGGAGAAGTGCCGCGAGCAATTGGCGACCCCAGGCGGGCGGTTGGTAACACTGCCAAGTTGCTTGTCGATCGCCGTCGAGTAGCATCCCAGGATCTCCGTGTGGTGTGCAGGGCCCGCATCACGTCATGCTAACACCAAAAAAGCATGTAAAAAGGCTATTGCATGGTTTTCCGGGGATGAGCCCCGTCGTTTTTTGCGGCCGTCGCAGAAAGCGATTGCAGCAACACGTCCAAACTGGCCCGGGAAACAGAGATAATATTGGCAATCGCAAAAAATCCTATTGCACGCTCCTCCCATCGCTTTGGGGCTGTTTTCCTTCCTCCTGATATTTTAGTTCATGGATTGCAACCCATAAATTTGCCTTCGCCAGCAGTTACTCTGACCCGGAAGGTGCCGTCCTGGACTGGTGCAAGTGGGAATCACCGGGGAAAAGGGCCAATTAACACGTGTTCAAACGTGTACAAAGTCTGCTGACTTGGGTTATTTCCGTGTATTCAGCATTCAAAACACTGATGGAATGAAGATATATTTGTTCGCAAAAAGCGCTATTTGGCCTTTTTCTTTGCTAGCGCATTCAACGGCTTCGAAATACTGGGAGGACCATCAAATATAGAACAAGATACGACGTTAGGAGTTCGCGTCTTTCCTACCGCAATGGTTGATGCAGCCTCATGTCATCTGATTTGACAAATTATCTTGCAGTGTTCCTTTATAGTTGCCTTTAGCAAGACACAGCGGTGGCACTGCACCTTGGAGGCGATGGCGAGTGTGTGCGCACCCAAAAATGTTTCATGTCTCACATCCGTGCATTTTTTCCGCTCACCACCCGTGTCATCAGATATTGCTCATGAGTCATGCCTCAGGCCGCGCGAATTGGTTGAGCCAATTTGGATCTTTGCAAGAAGAAGCAGCGCAAGATACTGAGCTGCAAGACACTGAGCCTTACACCGCTATGTACTAAAAGATTGTCTGACAGAATTACTGCCTATCAGACAATGTCTGGCAGACATGAAATATATTGTAGAAACTATCTTGAAAAACTACAAGTCCCATCTTGGGTGGAATAATACACGTAAATAACATTCTCGTGCAGGAGAGGATTCGGGTTTCGCCACTTCAAAAGGCCGGCAATGCGGGAATCAATGTGATTGTGAAGCACATGGACAACCGTAGGAAGGAGGGCGGAACTGCGATGCCGGGGCTCTCATCCAACACAAGTTGGAATTTATTTCTTGTGCCATTATCTGAAGATAATATTTTAACAGGTTTCCGAGATAAGTGAAACTTTGCCTTTTAGGAATCATTTCGATATTTTCCCCATGAATAAAATTAACGGTTTCATGGATTTTCGACAGAGAACTAAAAAACTCGCGTGCATGAAATTCTGTAATTCCACATGAAATCGCTGCCTTGCGATTCCGAGGCGGCATCTGGCGCAGGTGGCATTTGCCGTCCTTTTGGGTCCCTGC